GGTAACCACCATGTAGCAAGCACACTGATAAGCACATCCTACACTTTCAAGGAGCCCAATTATAGTAGCCAATGACAAAGAGACTTCTGAGACATAAATGAAGAACCAACCTATCACTAGAGAAATTTGCTAGCATTGCTTCCAATTTATCACTGTTGTCCTACTTTCATTAGCAACAATGTGCACGATCATTTTCAAAAGTGTCCTCATTGACATGACAAACTGACCAATTATGATTGAAGCTGCTGTTGCAGGGAATGTGTTCTGCTTCTGTGTAGATAGGAAGCTGAAATTCAGATTGAACTTGTTCAAAATCACATGTCCAAAAATTAGATCTTGAACTTGAGTTTTTATAACTCTAATTCAGATTGGTTCTCATATGCAATGACTAACCTTTTCTAAGGCAAATGTTTGAATTTGAATGGAATCTTTCCAAAACAGTGTTTCTATTTCTATTTTGAATGTAGCATTGAATTACTATTTTAATTCGCATTTTGCTGTTGTTGCTTGATGTCTGCAGACCTGTCTGGTTTTAGCTCTAGAAATGCTGAGAAGCTTGAAAGCTTAAGATATCAAAAACATATAGATGTTTTTTCAGCTTACAAGCACAACAATTAAAAAATCCTAGTGAAGAAAATTATAATCTAATAATATTTCCATAAGCTAATCAGCAAGTTTCTCTCTGTTTCCAGTTTTCATCTTAAGGAAAATAATATTTAGGAATAAACTATTATACAAACGGAGACTGGTGACATGATCCACTTGCTTATCACCGATGTTATGTTTTAGCGCAGTTCATATTTTACTGTATTTACAAGATTTGAAAGGGTGCACGCATGGTGGGCAAACTGGGCATTTATGCCACAGGATTTATTTTCTACCTCCTATAATCCAGGGGAAATCGGCTTGAGTATCCAGGCATAGTTCCCAGACACTTTCCCCACTGTCAAGGTTTTATTATGTCCATGACAGTGTTAGCAATACATTGCAGGAGGGTTTTTGTTTTCGTTTTTACGCTTGCTTGAAGTAAAATAGCTGAGTAAACAGTTGTTGATGGACCCTTCCTATGTATCAGGCACCATATCAGATGCTGCATCCGTCTTATCACATTTAATCTATCAAACAAGTCTCAGAAGGTATTGTCATTTTTATTTGATGGTGAAGTTAACCAAAGCACAGCAAGCTAAAGTGACAAAGTCACAAAAGTTCATACTTTCACATCATCATTCACCTACATCTTACTATCCCTTCAGACAGACAGCACGACCTTTTCCAGCTTTAGCCTTTTAGCTATATCACTTAATCTTGGTTTTCAAGATCCTATCACTTAATCTATCACTTAATGGTTTTCAACACCTTACTCTTGATTTTCTATGTATTTGCGTTTTCATTGCTTAAAAAGTTTATAGCTTTACATTTTCTTAACTTTTTCATTGTTAAAATTCATATATTATGTTCTGATTTCTCTCTCTCTCTGCTATCTTGTGAAAAGAATTTTCCTGGGAATATGCCATGTCTTCTTAACAGTCATTCTGTTAGTCCTCTCATCGTTGAACTTCATAGAAACTGTTCAGAAATGCATGCATAAAACATTTAGGATGCTTGCATAAAGCACCATTTATCTAGTGCATGGGAGCCAAGCAGCAGCCACACAATATAACTTTAGAAAGGATTCAAACTGGCTCCACAGGTTTCAGATCTGGAAGCTCCCTATTGAAAGTAAATAAGGATACAATGAAATACAACAACAACAACAACAACAAAAGCAAAACTTACTGCCTTTTCCCCAGGAAGAAACCCTAAAAGACCCAAAGACTTGAAGGATAAGATTCAGTATAGTAAACAGGATCATCATAGACTTAGTACTCCCCAAACAACCATAATAAAGGAAATGAGTTGCATTAAGGAAGTGTGACAATCCTTTGTAAGGTTTAATTGTCTTTAGGTTTAACTATGAACTAAGATGCACTCTAAATCTCATACTTATGATTATGTAAATACTTTTTGTCCTGTTTCAGGTGTTTTTCCACTAATTGCTTTTTTCACCCTTTTTGTTACAGAGCTTTCCACTATTCATGACTTCCATATCTTCCTTCTTCTCAGGGAAACTCATTTTCTGGCTCTGCACCCTTTTGCCCTCAGTAAGAAGCTAATAGCACTTATGAACAATTATGAAGCTACTCAAGGCTCATCCTATTTTTCCTAAATTATAAATTGGTTATGGTACATTTCAATGATTATCTCTGTTCCTTTCATTAGACACATAATCTTGAGACAAAAAGTATTCTTACTGAAACTATTGCTTTCCAGTGTTAACCACACAGGTTAAAAATAGTCTAAGGACAAAAGGAGTAATTCAGGGCACTCAAAAGTTCCTTTTCACTGAAGATGTTAATGGGTGTTAACATTTTGAAAATCCCAACATATAGTGGAGTCCAACTATCCCTATAAATTAATTTTCAATTTTTCATTTACTAATTTATTAAACAATATTTAAATGCCAACCACCCACATGATCTGGGAATAAGGCTGCAGATTCGATGTCAGTCTTTGTTCTCAGAAACCTTACAGTCTAATGGTACCTGAATTCAATTCCATCGTAATTGTCTATGAATATCTGGAAAGTATTAACCCACTTTCTACATCTATGTTTTTTTTTTAAAGTAAATGAAAGTGTTAATCCTTAGCACTGGAATTATAAAAGTAGGTTAGATAAATTCACTAGGAATTACAGTGAAAGGTCAGAATAATTATGATTTGATGATTTTCATATCATTGGAATTTCAAAAACAAAACAAAAACTGAATGTGAAAGCATCTTTCTAAATAGGAAAAAATTCACAAGAGTCCTTAAATTTGAGCATTGTAAATAGAACTTACAATAGAACAACTCCTCTCAGAGTTTCACAATCTTAGAATATTCAGTAACTCATTTTTCCTTTAAAAAAATCAAGAGCAGAAAAATACACACAGTTTCAAGATAAAACATATTTTTGTTTTATTGCACAAAGCATTGGAAAATTTCAACTGTTAGTGAGAATCAAAGAGATTGTTTGTGCCTCACCTTTGAGGTTACTTTACTACCTCTTGCAATCTACATAAGGCTCCTAAGCTGCAGATCGCCACACAATTTAAAACCCCCTAGTAATAACCACATTTGTCAAGTATCTTATTTTCAATCAAATGAACATCATTAAATAAGAAACGCACAATCTAGGAATATATTAACTTCAAATAATATTCATATACCAATCTGTGACTTCATGCTCATTATACTGTCTCACAATCTTCTCTCCCTCTTTCTCTCTCTCTCTTTCCCTCTCTCTCTCTTTCTTTTCATCAAAAGCATAGGTACCCAGGTAAAAATAGTATGTTTGGAAATTGATTATGGAAACAATGGTACAATTGTGCTTGACATGATTGAATGATGGAATGACATTATATTTGTATTAATGCCCAAGTAATAATATATTTAAGCAACAGCAACAACAACCAAACAAGCCTCCATATATCCAGGAATGGGTTTGGGGCTTACACTAAATTTAACTCCAACTTTAGAACAATTAGTTCTTACATCATGGCCCTGCCCAATACTCACCCTCAGGAAGGAAACACAGAGGAGATGGGTGCTATAGCAACATGTGGTAAGGAAATTAGATGGGCCCGCTATTAGAGAAAATAGCATCTGGGACCTTAAAAGCTTGTCTCCAAAGAAGCAGCCATCTAAGGGGGATGCCAACTAAGTCCACATGGAAGAAGCACAGCAACATCAGTCAGTCTCCAAGGGATTGTGAAGCACATAATCCGAAGTCAAAGGAGGGATTAGTCTCAGAGCCTAACGTGCAAAAATCTGGTTTGCAGAAGGCTATGGATGACAGTGGAAGCCCAAGATCCACTTGTGGAACTACATGGGAGATAAGCCTCCACTGAACTTCCTCTATCCATAGGCGGAAAGGGGTGACTAAAGAGAGTGCTCTAGAGAGTGGGGTATAGAGGAGCAAAGGCGTACATTTGACTTAAACTGCTAAAACTTTGTCAGCAAATCCCCCCTATGAGGCATGCTGGACTTTATCTGCTTTCCAAAATTTTTGTTTGTATTGTTTTGTTTGTTTGTACCTATTAGGGGGTATGTCCCAGGAGCTAGGACTTTGGGGGTCACCCTCTTGAAGTTGGGTTATATGTTTTTTTTTTGGTTTATTGGTATTTGAAACTCAGGATTGATGACCCTATAGAGAGAGTAAGAAGAACAAAGGGGTTCAGGGGGAGGGAAGTACCATGGTGGGAGGGGGGTGGGGAAGGAGAGATGATGTCAAGGAGTCCATGTAGCAAAGAAATGTCTGGGAACTGATTGTGGTATCAAATGTACAATTCTGCTGGACGTGATTGAACTATGGAATGATATGATATATGTATTAATTCCCAATAAATAAAAAAATTATTTAAAAAAAGCATAGATACCTAAAGTGTGTTAGACCCCATCCTTAAGTAATTGTAGGAATGCTCTGAAATTGGTTCATCAGGTTCTTTCAAGTTGTCCATTTTAGGATATTCATTATTGTCATTAATTAAATTATATGCCTTTGTTTACTATTAAGATCTTTATTCTCCTAGCCCATCTAGTATTTTTCTATGTGTTAATTTTTGGTTTCGTGTCCTGTAAATTTTCCTGAAAAAATTTGAAACTGATTTTCTGCTATTCATATATTACTTTACTTAACAGTATTTAAATGTCAATCACTCTCAGGTATTGGGACCGATGCTGCTGGTTCAATGCAAGCAGAAACCTTACAGTCTAATAATACCCGAATTCAATTCTATCTTTGAAGATTTGCTCTATCAATTTGCCTTACATGTCTTTGGCAGAATGTATAATTTGTGATTTCAATTCCATCTTTATATTTAAAAAGATTGGAAAGAATGAATGTACTTGTGTTTTGTCCATCGAAAACCTCATTTATGCTTTCACATTTTCTGTCTCTACACAGACCACTCTCTCAGGGCATGAGGAATCAAACAGAACTGAGTGAGTTCATTCTGCTGGGAATACCCCAGACCCAGGGACTGGAGACTGTGCTGTTTATCATCTTCTTGTTCATCTACCTCTTCACCTTGCTCGGTAATTTACTCATCCTCATAGCCATCATCTCTTCCACTACCCTTCATACCCCCATGTACTTCTTCTTGGCACTTTTATCTATTTTTGATATGTGTTTCCCTTCTGTAACTTGTCCCAAGATGCTTTTCTATCTGTCTGGTCAGAGCCAGACCATCTCTTATAAAGGATGTGCTGCACAGCTCTTCCTTTATCATTTCCTGGGTTGTACAGAAGGTTGCCTCTACTCTGTGATGGCTTATGATCGCTTTGTGGCCATCTGCCACCCACTGAGATATACTCTGATCATGAAACCTGAGGTCTGTGTGGGTTTGGTCATGGGGGCCTGCTTGATAGGTTGTCTTGATGCAACCATACTGACCTTCTTTACCTTTCAGTTAACCTACTGTGGTCCCAATCAGATCGACTACTTCTTCTGTGACATTCCTGCTGTCTTACCCCTGGCTTGTGCTGACTGCTCCCTGGCCCAGAGGGTGGGTTTTACTAATGTTGGCCTTTTGGCTTTAATACTTTTGCTCAGTATCTGTGTCTCTTATACTCGTATTGGGATTGCCATTTTGAGGATCCGTTCATCAGAAGGCAGACAGAAAGCTTTCTCCACCTGCAGTGCTCACCTCACTGCCATACTCTGTGCTTATGGACCTGTAATCATTGTATATCTTCAGCCTACACCTAAGCCCTTGCTTGGTGCTGTGGTGCAAATATTGAATAATCTTGTTTCACCAATGCTGAACTCATTAATCTATTCTTTAAGGAACAAGGAAGTTAAAAAGTCCCTGAAAAGGGTGTTCAATAATATAGTATTTATTGTTCTGAAATAATTTAGCAATATATTTAGCAATATATTTCAAAAGCATATTGACCCTTAGGATCCTCCTTCTCTTTTTCTCTCTCCTTCAATAAATATTTGTAAGTGAAAATGGAGATACTTTCTCTGAAAGTAAACAGATGCTTTCTCTGAAAGCCTTATATTAGATTTTCTGTGTGTATGTCTCTGTAACTCCTGCTACTGCTCTAGTACTCTGTACCTAGCATTATTTTCAGCATCTTCCCCCTGAATAAGGTACCCAAGTAGCCTAGCAACCATTTACAGACTCAGAGCTTGGCTCTATAACCAGAATCTGGATTTGACTCTGTGGAGACAGTGAAAATTTGTAGCAGTCTCAGAAGTACTTTTCGATAGTCCCACTCTGTGCCAAATTGCCTTCCCACCCCTCCATTTAGAATGTAGTTGTTCCTCTTTTCTTAGAAAAATTGTGACAACACAATGGATGTATGGATTATTATAAGAGCTGAAAGAGCCCCCAATAAAATGATGTATTGAAATAAAAAAATGGTGACAACAACAACTGATAAGGAAATGTTGCCATTTTTTGGAAAAGAGCATCGAAGATTATAAAACTCACTGCCATAGACTTGGTTCTGACACATAACCACCATACGGAACAGAATAGAATCGTCCCCTCTGGATTTCCAAGACTATACATTTCTATCAGGGTAGAAAGCCTCATCTTTCTCTCTTGCAATGGCTGGTAGTTTCGAAATGCTGACCTTGGGGTTAGCAGCCCAATGTATAATCCACTACACCACCAGGCCCCCTTTGAGACTTTAAATAATGGGCAAAAGGTCACACATTCAGTAACAATGCGGGCTTTGATTTCAGCTCCAACTCATGGGAAAACCCTGCTCTTAATCCCTCTACACACAGCTGCCCTAAATGTCCAAGGAAATGTTGCCTCCCAACCCTGTAACAGTTGGAGATATTGTGCTCAGTAAGGAACTGGTGAAGCATACATATCATGTCTGTATAGCTCCCTTACTATCATCTCCACTCATTCTTTTCCATTGAATAGATACAGTAGTGCATTTCATGTCGTATGTATCACATGTAGTTATGGTAAAGCCAGATGTACACCCAAGGTCTTGCCAGTCTGACTGTCTTGGTTTTCCAGTTCCATCATACTATCCGTAACCCAAAGTACTCCTGAGTTTAAGAGAAATAACAAAGGGGACCCTTTCAGTGTTACTCGAAGAGAAGATGCCTAATTATGGATCTCAGTCAGCCCATAAAGTTACATTTCTAACTTAACTCACTTAACTCTGGCAATGTTAGAATTGGTCATTATTTTTCTGTTTTGTCCAGAATCCAGGGAGGCAGAAGGGATGCTATTTTTTGAGGGCTCCAAAGACACATCAGTCATTAGTTTTTTACAATGTTCTTGTGATTTTTAATTTATATATTCCATTTTCACCCCTCAAAGTTTCTATCATATTTCAAACCACAAAAACAAAACAAAAAGATGAAACATCTCAAATAATATACATTTCTGCCATACAAAAGACATGAGCAAGAGAGCAAAATAGAGCACATTCAAGCATAGCTAAGTTGATTGAAATTCAATATAAGGATTCTATTATTTCCCCTATAGGATCTCTAGTGGCAAGGGGGTTTACATGTTGGGCTCCTAACTACAAGATCAATAGTTTGAAGCCATGAGCCACTCTACAGGAGAAAGATGAGGCTTTCTACTCCCATGAAGAGTTACAGTCTCCGAAACCCACAGGGGCCGTTCTACCCTGTCTTATAGGGTCACAAGGAATAAGAATCAACTCCGTGTCAACACATTAGGTTTGGAAACATGGTCTCTCCTATTGAGCCCTGCTGCATTGTCAAGTAAATGTTGGACTGTTAATCATAAAGTCGGATGTTCAGACCCACACGTTTCTCCAAGAAGTAAAGATCAAGCCATCTGCTCCAACAAACATTTATAGCCTCAGAAACCCTATATAGTGTTGTCATGAGTTGGAACCAACATGATGGCAGTGGATATAGTCTCTCCTAACCTGATTAGCAGAACTTAGACCACACAGAATCCTATTCTCACACTTGGAGAAATAGATATTAATTTGCTAATACATCAAAGCTGGATATTGATTTGTAGAAGCCACATGCCATGATATCAGACAATGTCTAGGTCATCATGTTGATGATCAGATATGCATTACATTAATAATTATTTGCTCGATGATTTTCTCCACAGCAAATAGAAATTTCATATAAATAGGGATTGCGTTT